GTCCCAGTTGAGGGGACGGAGGGGACGTAGTGTTTGATCTGAATTTTTGTTACAGAAAAATCAGGGCTCCTGAGACTGCAGTCTGCAGAGCAGCTCTGTCCCTGCAGACACAGGAGGTGAGAGCACACGGAGACCACAGCACCCCGCTCACAAGCAGAAGGGCAGTGGGCCTTGCCGGGAACGCTTTCCACCCTGCAGGCGCCACGCCCAGCGGGTTCCCCGCGCTGCACCTGATTGCGCTTCACAACTAGGCTAGCTCAGTGCACTGGGGGCTGCTGCTAGGCCCAGCGAAGCATGTTGGTGCCAGGGTAATGACTCCGTCAGGGCCAAGCATTCCCAGACCTGCGCTCTGCCCTGCCATTCACCAGCCACGGGGTTGTGTCACTCTGCTCAGAGTAAAGGACAGTTTACTCTGTCCTGGTTGCTCCCCATTAGGATGCCATGGGTCAGCAACACGCCTGCCCCTGCCCCGCCCGCGCCGCCCTGCGCTACTGCGTCTGCACCCGGGCGCTGGAGGTGGCGGAGCAGGGCGCGCGCCTGGGCCCCGTGCGCATCGTGCTGCACAACTGCCCCTGCTACCGCGTCCTGGCCGCGCCGCGCCACGTCTTCCTGCTGCCCGCCCCGGACGCCCACGCCGGCGCCGCCAAGCTGCTGCTGGTCTGGTGCCCGCAGGAGAGCCGCGTGGCTCTGGTTGCGCCCGCCCGAGGGCTTCTGCGCAGCTACTGCCTGCCGCCCGCGGGAGAGCTGGACTTTAAGAAGTTGGTGGCGGGGTGTGCGGGGCTCCTGCCCGCCCTGGGCCCACTGGACGTCCACACCTGCGCCCTGTCGGACTCGGGGGACCTGCTGCTACTCAGCCCCCGGGGCGCCGTGGATCTGCTGCAGCCCGACGGCGCCCAGCGGCGCATCTTCGACTTTGGGGGCAGCGCGCTGGCCCCAGGAGACCTGGCGCAGCTGCACGCACGGAGCGGCACCTTGGCCTGCGCGCTGGCCGGCCTGCTGTACCTTGTCGACGTGGGCAGCGGGCGCCTGCTGGACAAGATGGTGCTGGGCACCAAGGAGGTACACTTCCTGGAGGATGAGGAGGAGCTGCAGCTCCTCACCCCGACGGGGATCTACAGCTATGTCCCCCGTGGTGCGGAGCCAGGCGGGCGGCCGGAGCCCCTGCTCTCCGAGCTGGTCTTCCAGGAGGCGTGCAAGTATTACCAGCGCCGCAGCCTCAGCAGCACGCCGCTGACAGTGGAGAAGCTGCGCAAGGGCGGCATGTTCCAGGCACCCATCGCACTGGCAGCCATCCTGCACCGCGGCCTGCGCCCACAGCACGAGCCGCCCCACGGGCTCCCGGGGCCCCACGCCAAGCTGCTGAGCACCCTCAGCCTGGAGCTGCAAAGCTACCGCAGCCTGGAAGCACTGAAGGCCTGCGTGGTGGGCGCGCCGGAGGGCGAGGTGGACAGCTACTGCGAGGAGCTGGTGGAGCAGGAGCTCACCCGCCTCCTGCACTCGGAGCTGGACCCGGACAACCTGGCCTACCTGAACACCATCTTCCGCTCCTTCCCCCGGGCCGCCTGGAAAGCCGTGCGCGCCAGCCTGCAGCTGCGGCAGGGCACCGACGGGCTCCTGGTTGCCCGGGCCACGCCAGACATCTGGAAGAAAGTGCTGGGGGGCCCGGCGGCACGGGAGGCGGAGGGAGGCTGCAACGGGGCGCTCCCGCTCTTTGAGCTCATCTGTGGCTCCCTGCACCGCTACAAGCCCGCGTGGCTGCCGCGCTTCGTGGCGCTGACGCAGCAGTACGCCGGCACCACGTGGCCCTACGGCAGCCAGGACGGGCCCGAGGGCCGCGTGCCCCTCTACAAGCGGGCGCTGGCCGTGCTGACCCGGCGGGCCGGGGCCGCCGGCGATGAGGACCTGGAGATCGATCTGCTGCTGTGCAGCGCGCGGCCCAAGGCTGTGCTCCAGGCCATGCGGCTCCTCGTGCGGCTGCGGCACTGGCCCCGTGTGCTGGAGGCTGCCTGCCGCTTCTGCCCGCGCAGCCCCTTGCTCAACAAGGAGATCTTCACCACACTCCTGGCCGAGGTGGCCCAGCACCGCGAGCTGGACCCACACCTGGGCGCCCTGTGGGAGCTGTGCCCCCCAGACCTGGCAGCCACAGACGTCCTCGCCGTTGTTCTGCAGCACCTGCCCAGCCCCGGGGCGGGCGACCCCACTCCCTTCGCTGCTGCCCCAGGCACCCTGCTGACCGTGGGGCTGCTGAAACCGCTGCTGCAGCGCGTGGCACAGCGCCCACGGGCCCAGGATGAGCTCTATGCCGATGCCCTGCAAAGCCCCAGCATCCCCCCTCCCACCCCACCCCGGGAGCGCTGGGCAGGTGCCAAGCTGGCCCCAAGGACTGCCATGCTCGGGCCAGACCAAAGCGGCACTGTGTGAATGGCGCCGGGGAGCAGGCACCCAGGCTAGGAGCTCCAGCGTGCCCCCGGCCCCGGCGCAGGGTGAAAGACTAGATCTGAACCTCGCTCCGTGTTTGCCCTGCGTGCTAGCCAGCGGGGCCGCAAGTGCTTTGGGGCCGGGGCTCAGCTTCCTTTCTCCGTCCTACGCACCAGGCCTCTGAGACCAGCGCCGGTAGCTTGAGCGCTCGCGGTCCTTCCTTAGCAAGCAGCCGGGCCGTGCCGAGGAGCGAGCAGAAGCGTGGGGGAGCTCCATGCCAGGCCATCCAGGCCTAACCCCTCCACCTTTGCCCCCGAGCCGGCTCAGACACAGAGGCTTTGTGAGGCCCTCCCTGCCTTTCTGCTGCCTCAGCTCTTCGGGAGTGAGTAACTCGAGACAGCCAGGCCAGGCCCCTCCCGGCAGACTGCCGCACTCCAGACACTAATGCGTGGCCCCCGGTGACAGGGGGGCCCTGTCTCAACCCCCCTCGAGGACATGGTTACACCCCCCTCGAGCACCTGGACTGGAAACCAGACAATAAAAGTTGCTGATGCAGCACTGGGGCAAGAGACTCGTGTTTGGGAGTGGGGGGCTGATGTAGCTATGGGCTGCTGCCCCAGGAGGGGGGTCCTGCTGTGCTGTGGGGGCAACCCCCAGCCCCTCAGGGTACATCCCTCTAGCACCTGCTTCAGACCCCAGCTAGCTGCAGGAGCCTGTGAGCTGCCCCCCAGCGCCAGGGAGCTTGGCTGTGGAGGCAAGAGGAAGGCACTTGGCCTCCCTGGTGCAGGAGACCTAGTGTAGACAGGCCCCCGGTACCTAGAGCACATTGTACTGCCTGGGGACCAGCCCTGGGAGCTGCGGGGGAGGACGTGGCTCTGCAGCCAAATTCACTGGTGTCCCCTCCGTGTTGCACCTCAGCTGCAGTTTGTTCCTCCCTGCACAGGACGTCGGCCCCTCCTGGGAAGTCCCCGTGGCCACGAGCCAGTGTGGAACCAGCCCCTGGAAGAGGAACTGCTGGGTGGGAGCGATGGGTCGGGGCAGCATCAATGAGGCTTTGTGCAGCGCCAGCTCACACTGCACCCCGCATGGGGGGTGGGGGTGCTTCCATCCAGCAGGGAAGTGGGCTGCGCCGAACAAGCCCGAGCCTTTGGGTGGTGGGCAACGGGTCACCCGCAGCGCCTGCCTGGCCCCAGCAAGCCTGGAGGCGAGGGCAGCAGGACAAAGCCTGCGGCTGTGATGTGGCCTCTGCTCTGGCTTAAACCGCCCCCAACACCTGCAGCAAAGGGGCAGATTCCTCCCTGACCCCACGGAGCAGCCCTTCCCATCTGGACCCCCTGTGAATTACCCTGGCTCCCAGACAGGGTGGGGGTTACTGGGCACCAATGCACCAGGTGTTGGGCAGCTTCCAGCAGGGTGATGGGACCCCCTAGAGCAGGGACCCAGCCCCTTGGGGTACAGCCCCAGAGCCACCCCGTGGCAGTGGCGGGCACGGGGGGCACAGCCCTGCATTGCCGCACAGGAGACAGGCAGCTTGGCTCTGTTCACACACACACACACGCTGCTTTATTGCGCGCGGGCATGCCGGCGCTGGGGCAAAGCAACCCCGTGGCCCAGAGCAACCCGCCACCCAGCCTGGGCAGCTGCGCCCGTGGCCGCGACCTCAGGACCGGGGCATCACGGCCTCGTCTCCACCCGTGGGATCTTGAAGGCAGGGGGCGGCACGGACCTGTGGGGTGCGCGGGAGGGGGCATAAGGGGATGTCCCACAGTACCTGCCCACCCCCCCTTCGGTTGCCGGACTCACATCTCCAGGGCCTCGTTCCTGTGGGGAGAGAGGGGCAGGGTCAGGGGGGCTGGGCACTGCCCCCACCCCACAGCCCCTTAGGGCTGCGAGGGTTTCAGTTCCCCATGGCCAGGCAGCCGTGGCCTGGTGCGAGCAGCCGCCAGGGAAGTGAAACCAGCTGGTGCCTTTGGGGGAGGGGGGGGTGTCAGGGAGCCCAACCCCGGTCCCAACCCCCCTGGGCCTGTCGTGACCGGGGGCTCCCCACCCCCGCGTTGGCCAGGCAGAGGCCGGTGCAGCAACCACGGTCGCGGTCACGCCTGCCACGTGTCCGCCTTCCTCCCCGCTGGGGCCTGGGTGGCGTGGAAGCCAGGAGTCGGGCGGGCAGCGACAACGGGGGTCCTCACTCGTGGACGTCGGCGTAGTCCATGCGGCGGTAGAACTTGGCGAGCCGCGTGGCCAGGATGAGGCCAGGCAGCAGCAGCGCGGTGCAGGCGCCCAGGCTGAACCAGAAGGCGTTCTGGGGGGCACAGCGAGCATCAGTGCCCCCAGCCCCACACCC